GTAATAATAATAATAATAATAATAATGTATTATACTGATTTAAAAATCTGTAGTACTAGGTCAGTAGAATTAAGAATGCTGAGGTAATTTTAAGCTACATTATGTCAGTATATTAATAGAAACATTTAGACAACTGTTCAATGGTATGTGCAATTCTGTTTCATATTCTGTACTCAAAGATAGAGTAACAAGCCTGTGGCCAGTATTTATTTTTCTATTTTAATTTTAATATATGCTAAAGGCAATTGAGCCATTATAATAACTAGAAATAGTTTGAAGCAATCTTTAAAGCTGTAACATGAAATAGTAGGGCTACATCATCACTAGTCATGTTGAAACTCATGGAATCTTTCAAAAGCTAACTCGATCCTAGAAATCTCAGATTATTACTCAGAAGGAACTTGAACTTTCCCAGAGAGACTGAAAGTGTCCCGGATATCTACTGTCATTAAAGTCATCAAGTTTCCTGACTGTTTACCTTACAGTATTTTCCTCTACAGTAACATCTCCCAATCACATTCTCCTCCGGCCGAACAGGGTTCGTAAATGAGAAAATTCGTAATTTAGTACACTACAAGGCTAGGTTGGCCTAAGCCTTGTCAAGGGAGAACAATTTGTTACGAAATATGACTGCACCAAAATAATACTTTACAGTGTAAGCTAAAATTACCTGTGCTCACTGTGAAGTATTCATTTGAAGTGATCTCCAAATGAAAACATGACCATATATGCCCAAAACGAGTGTTATTATTCTGTTCATAAAGATTGCAAATCCATGCAAATAGTGCCCCCAACGATCAAAAAGTGAGATTTACTGTATCGTATGCCTGAACAAGAATGCACAGCTCAAATATAATATATCTTGGCTGAAAATGATTTATATTTCTAGCTTTAAACTTAGTTTTATATAACAACTTAAATTATTTCTGACAACTTTTAAGTACATTTTAAAATGTCTTTGTAGTTAAAAACGATAGTTCATAATGACATCATCACCGCAAATTTGGTTTATAAAATTGAGAGTTCGTGAATGGGAGGTTCGTAATTGGCAGATGAATACTGTACTCTATAGCCTACTGTAAAACATTCAATTGCATTTTCATTCATGCTATGGCCTAAATACTAGTTTGCTGCCAAACACCCTCTCCTCACAGCTTTCGCCCTTGACATAAACAAATTTTTGTTGAGGGCTATGAAGACTAATAATTAAAGAAACATAAATGACACTGTGTTTGCTGGAATGAAAAGACATCTGACTCGGGTTTTTTTTTTTTTTAATTTTATCTCGAAAAGTACAGTATTGCCACGACTTAGAGGGTGTCCTACGAAGGAGATGATATACACGTATAGTTATTTGTATTGAATGCACATGCTGTGTGCTTAATGACTGTTCAAATTCTAAATTTCATTTCATTTTAATCAGGAGTTAAAATCACCTATTCTTGAATAAAATATGAAAAGAAAGAACATATTGTAGTACCCTCTAACTTGTCGTAGAAATGTGTTTTTGTTTCATTTCAAATCAGGGTCCAACCTTTTTCCATTCTACTCTTTGTTTTTATATCTGTGAGGCTATATTATATAATGTTAATAATAGTATAATGCACCACTAATGCATGTTCACAGGTCATTCATCATAACCTGGCTATATATTCAAAGCATTTGACCTTTGATTTTCACTGGGAAGGGGAAAGAAAGTATGGATCATCTGCCAAAATGCAAAACCATAAAACTATTATGTTTACAATAGACCAATATTAAATCATGAGTTGGCATAAACTTATATTTTTCTTGTCGGAATGTTATGTACAGTTAAAAACAAATTATCACATGAAAGTGAAAATCTAATGTAGGCTAGCTATCAAAACTCAAGGATATTTTAAATTTTTTAACTGTCATCATCATCTTCTGTTACTGTGCATAACCTCTTTTTAATAGAGTATACTTGCACAATGCTACAGTACATGCATCACTGCTAGCAGATGTGTTCTCTCTACCTTTATCTTTTTTTTTAAAATTAATCAGTACTCTCAATCATTAGATAAATTTGTTAACTGTCTGTGTCAACTTGGAGAATAAATTTAAATGAATTATTTGAAATGAAATTTGCTTATTTACAGTTACAGTATAATAATGTATCAGTGTAGTATAGAGATTTATAATGCACATATTAAAAAAAAAGATTTTGATGTGATATTGTTTACTGTAAATTTGTATACAGTAGTTGTTTGTTTTTTCAACAATCCTTTATGAGGCTGACTCATCTGTGATATTTTTTAATAAATGAAAGAGCAAAAACCAGTTTAAAGAAACACATTTAAGAATCTACAAATAATGCAATGCAGGAGGTGAGCAGTTCAAAAATGATAACATTATTTCATGCCTTTCCACAACAATCATTTGGTATTTTTTTAATTGTGTGATTTTAGTCTTAGTAAAGCAAGATTTATTGTTATTTTTGGACATGAGACACATGTGAGTCAATACAGAGGAAGTTGTCAAACTGTTCATCTAAATCCCTGATGCAGTGAATGAAGTTACATGTCAAAGAATATAAAGTTGTATGCTTATTTTCTTAAAAGAAAATTTAAAATTCAATTTCAGCTATTAAAGATAAAAAAAATATATAAGATTTGTATAGTGCTCAAATCCATTTAAATGAAGAAATTCTCAAGGTGCAAATAGACAGTGAAAAAAGAAATTGGAAAAAAATTAATCAATTACACTACTGTAAGCCGGTAAATATCCTAAACTAACCAGAAAAAAAAGAGAAACCATCATTACCAGAACTGAGCATTACTGCTCCGTTTAACAGTATTTCAAAGCCCCTAAAAATCTGGAAAATTTACTATAAAAAATTAAAAATATATTAAACGATAAATTAAGGATTATATAATTTATCAACTTCTAATTTGACATTTCAGTTTTTGCTGATTTAAGGCAGTTTTCTAACAGCAGTTTATATTTCACTACATGAGCAAAAGGATTTGTAATTACACAGTTTAAACATTGCTACCGCGTTGGGTGCTCAAAGATATTTTTCCTAAAAGTAGAAACTGATTTAACTCTAAAATTCAGTGAAGCAACAACCACAAGCAAAGAGCAAACAATCTGTTGAAGGACTAGTGTATGAAAATTTCACTATGTGTACGGTGAAATGCAGAAGTTTTTATTCATTTAAAACCTTTTTAAACTATCTATAATTTTTACTATGAAAATCTATGAATTGATTATATGCCATTTTTAAGGTCAAAGCAAAAATATAGGAACAGTATTTTGCGCTACTTTATTTTGGCAGAAAAAAATAATGTATAGCTAACAAACTTACTTAGTATTAAGGTATTCTAATTGGATTTTATTTTGTTCCAAAGTGTTTAGCTTAAACGCTGATAGTAGGCCTCTATTATCGTTAATAACTTTCTATTTGAAATCGATCATGCACAAAATACTGATCAAATCTATCGCATTCCCGTGATTTGAGGTCATATTAATGGATTTTTCCGCTAACCCCTGCTCCTTGAGTATTGTTGGTGAGTTTCCACAAAATGACTTAAAAAATGTAAATATGTGTTTCTAGGACAGCACATGCATTTATGGGACATGTGCATGTTTCTGGCCCGTTTCTAATTGGTTAGTTAAGTTCGACACGCGCCGTTAAGGTTTATTCTAGTCTGCATTCATTCTTATCCCAGAGCTCTTTTGATTGGTAGATGTTATTCATGTGATATTGCTGATGATATTTTTTTTTTTTTTGCAAATTCCACTCGAACTTGTAAATTATTTATAATAAATCATTTTTTTGTTTGTAGATCTTCTTTGTTTACTGGCTCTACTCACCAGGTAGTTCAGATATTTAAGTATTAAGGAAGATGTCAAATATTGGCTTCATATTAACAGTACAATGAGGCTTTTTGTCTGCTTAGAAATTCCGGTTGAATCCAGTCACAATACAGGCCTCATCTCAGTCTATTACTCATGTCAAAAGGTCACCAAGTAAATACTTGAAACATCAGATGTATTTCAGGAAATTGCATAAATATTGAAAAACTTAAGACTTTGAAATACATAGTCAAATCAGATTCGAAGGAATTTTATAGTGTTGAATTTTTGCATGCCTGTATTTATTGTTTATTGGTTTTTATTATTTTTTCTGCAGGGCATTAAAAGTCCACTAAAAATTGCATGAAAAATGCTTGAGTGCAAAAATTTCCTTTCTTGGAGTACAGTAATCTTGCTGTATTTGTCTTCTTGTCAAATTGTTTCTCCATTTTTATCTCAAAGTTACTGGTAGATTACTCAAGTTTTATAAATACCCGATTGACATAAGTTACAAAATAATATTGATGCAGATATAAAACTTCACTAGGTACAGTACAAGATAATCTTCACACAAATACCACAAGATAATATACACAGATATTAAGATACTATTATAAGTAATATTGACACAGATGAACACAGCTTAAGAGATAATTATACACACCATGACACTTGACGTAAATGTTAAGGCACAAAACAGAATATAAATATTGACATACTTGTCATATCACAATTCACACATCTGGGGTTTAACGCAAGACTTTTGAACCTTGTTCTTAGGACAAAATAGTTATGTTTTTGGTGTGAAATGTACCAAGAATGTTGGAAGACTTGTTTCCAGAGGGGTCCTTTGTATGGTGAATTCAATTGGGCCACACCAGGTGACAATACTTTGTTCTTTTCCGAAAAATAAACCTTATTCATCAAGATGATCCATGTTACACACATCTTTATACTGAACAAATGGTTCAGTGTTATAATTTAAAAACAATAAAAGAAAATATTTGAAAGCAATGACTTGTGTTAATTTTTAAAAAGCAAATATAAAGGTACAGGGTAATCTTGTTTTTCATCCAAAAGATGGTACACTATTGCTAGATGGAAAACAGGGGGAGTAGCTGTATTACCATGGGCCAAGGTCTAAAAGGACCTCCCCAGTTCAGTGCACACTTCAGATTAGCTTGCTATGTTGCTGTTATAGAAATTCTTTTGAGGAAAACTAAGGGCCTGTTTCTACTGGAAAGAAAAAATTGATTAAAAATAGATTTATCGCTTTTTTTCTCGCAGTATAAGGGGGACCAGTTCGAAAAAAATTATTTAAAATAATCAATTAAAAACATGCAATGGATAGCGTGTTTGAACGGCAAGTAACCGATTTCCCTGTGCACTTTTTAGTGGCAACATCATAGGTGATTACCAAGAGAAATATGACCTCCAGGTCAAACCACTGCAAAGCTACTGTAGATCGTATCACGCGCGAACTTTCAAAATGATTATTCCTTTTGTTCATGTCCTGGCCTACAAGCTAAAACGTCAAACATGTAGAGCGACGAAATTACATGTTTTGTAATAATTTTGTGGAAGACATTGGACCTAGACCTCTCCGCTCTTCTGGGCCCTATTGTGTCCTCGTTCGTTTGTTCGTTCATTCATTGTGCCGATGAGCACAGCCGAAGGCATTCGCTTTCTGGCCACACACCATATCCCGCTTGTCATTTCGTATTGTCTTGTTCTTGTTGGTGAGAAAGAAACTATAGTTTGGAAAATGCGTTTTATAAACAAAATGGTGACATAATTTCCGCCTAAAAATTAAAAGCAAAGTAAACATTCAGTAATCAGGTTAATAAATTAATTCATGAGCAGTGGTGAATACTGTAGAGGGAGCCCAGAAAGTCAATTTTACAAATGGTACTATAACATTTTACTATGCATCTAGTGGTAGGGTGCCGTACACTATTTTGGTAAAGGAATAAAGGAGGGTAGGGTTGGCAACATCTAGGGGCACGCATCATTACTGAGATAGCATATGTACCGTATTCCTAGCCACTGCCAACATTTTATGTAATAATTAAAATTAGAATTTAAATAATTAATTGCAGAAGGGGTCATTCCATGCCAGTTCACCCAAAAAACTATAGCATTTTTTAACCTCACCTCCTCTAATTTTGATGAAATTTGGTATATGGGTAATTCATAGCCAGAAAAGTTAAAATTTTAAATTTTAACTTTATTGGACCAACGGTTTTCGAGATATCAGAATTTCATTTTTTCATTTTTTCGAGAAAAAGGGGCATGCCGTCAAATTTTGAATTGCTGTAACTCTTCAATCACTGGTCCGATTTATAAAAACAAGGTACAGTATTTCTGTAAAGAAGAGAAGATAAGGAATGCAAATGACTTGAATTGTTTTGTGCATTTGGGTAATTTTAAGTTGGATTAAATTTTGACCCATATGTTGACCTTGAAATTGACACTGTGGGACACACCCAACCTCCTTGACCCCATTATGAAAAATGTAGCCCTATGTGTCACCTACAACATATGAAAAAATGGATGGGTTTTCTTTTTTTTATTTTCATGCAATACCATGTAGAAGTTGACATACCCATTCCTTCAGAGATACATTCAGTGTCCATTCTATATACTTCCATACATTATATTTATATAATGTATAGATATATTGGTTTGCTTTAAGTAATTAGTCTGTTTTTTAAAACATCCTGGAAACAAATGGTTGACAAATATATTGTGTATAGAAAGCATATAATATAATAACGTACTAACGAAATCAAAATAACATTTGATCCAGGATACAATCAATATGATAATCGATGCAAGATATTGTATTGTTGACATATTTGAGGAAATTATCAGTACACACTTACAGTTAAACTTGAACTGAGAAAGTAACGCCTTCACTTCTTGGCACCAAATTAGGAATTTATACAAAGTCATTTTTGCTTCTTTTTTTACCTTTGAAGGTCACTTGTGTCTTTAGGTAATCATGTTCTGACCTTCATATTATAATCTGCACTGAAAGTTGATTCTGTAATTACTGTGCTGAGTGTTGAGAACAGTCAAAATATTGACAACATGTTTAGCAATAATGATAACTTTATGAATTGCTAAAGACCTGGGTAATCTAGTTACCTTAGCAACACAGAAGTTCCATTTTACACGGTGCCCTTTTTGTGTGACCATGTAAAGAAAGGATTAAAAAGTTAATTCAGTGTTTTGGAAATTTTCCATCCAGGTTTTTTCTATAATCTGTCAAACCAAAAATCCTTTCATAGCTATGAGATTTTTAAAAAGATTTAAATTACTATTTTTGAAGAACACAAAAAGCTTTGAGTTTCCTTTGTTCACCCTTTTAAAATAATGGTAGTTTCCAGTAAAGTAGTGCTCATTTGCATGTGCTTCCTCCTGTCTGTGATTCATTCTAATCTACTGTATGTGTGGATGATGACTGTGAAGTGATATAATAGTCGTTGCGCCGAAAGCAGTTTTGTCAATCGTAGGCAGCAGTAGACAAGTTTTGTACCTTCGGATTTTATACATAATTTGAAACAATGGACTGGCTAAGTCGGCTTTGGTCCAGGCACCATAGTTCCAGCAGGCCTCAGGTGGGTAATTTATCAACTCCTTAAATTGTTTATTCTTAGAAATGCTTATCAAGGTTACTTCATAAACATTGATTTACATATGGTAGATTGAGGTACAGTACACTTTAAAAGTTTGCTGACCTTGTATTTAATAATTGTAATGTGTATTGTTTATTTAATTTTAGAAATGTTTATCAAGGTTTGTACTTCATAAACATCATATTAAGTCATCCAAATGAACAAACTTTGCAAAGGATCTCAAACATGGCTACAGCACTTGTTTGAACATGCAGTTGTCTCTAAGTCATATTGTTTCATTACTTCTGTTTCTACTACCAGCAAAAATTTCATAATTGATATAAAGTGTATGTTAATTGTTTCCAAAAAGAAAATAAGTAAAGTACTTCTTAAAGGTCATACCATGGGTTAAATTCAACAAAATATGGAAATATTTGGCAAATTTATTCAAGTTGTTAACTGTTAAAAGTATGGACAACCATTATCCATCAGAATGTGTTCGCTTTCCTGTCCTATTTTTGTTCTCTGTAAAATATACTGTATGTTTGTTGGTGTTTATCTATGTGTCATAAAGTAATTGATAACCCATCCACCTACAAAACCAATCCCTTGCAACATAACATATTGTACTGTGGCACTGAGTATAATAATTACTGTATTTGGTTTTTGTATAGCACTTTTCGTTGAAAAAACCTCCAGGCACTTAACAAGAAATAGACAAATCGTTTAAACCATGAACCTTTCCACTTAAAGCCACCCCTGTCCAAAGCCACCCCTGTCCAAAGCCACCCAATAATGGATTATACCATTGTAAGGTAGAGGTGGACAATGGGGTGTTTGTCTTGATGCTGGTCTACAATAGGTTTCTGCTGCAGTGCTAGGAGTGTTTTTGCATCAGCTTTTGTGTATTATGAATTAGAAACTGGGTGTAGTCTACACTTGTACATTGTAACGAATAACTGAACATGAACAGTGCTAAAAATGTGAATTTTAGAAGCAGTTTATCTTTTTACAGTATGCATAATATCACTGCATCAGCCTATGCATTCCATCGTTTAGGCCTATCATTCTTTAATGTAATTGTTCATTCTTTCTTTCATTTAACTTCATCAATACATTCATTAATTTATTCATTCATTTCATTCAATAATTTTTCCATTAATCTTTTATATCATTTCATTCTTTCATTTATTATTCATATTTTTATTTATTACATTTTTTTGTTCATTCAATTATTTAATGAATATTTTATTCAGTGTATTGTAGGTCAACTCATGTAGAACAAGATTACATTTACTGTATATTTAGAGCAGTTACATATTATTTTCATCATTCCTGACGATGACATAATTAATGTCGAAATATTGAATCCCAACACGATGGTGTGCATTTCAATACTTGGCGTATGTATTATACTTTCTTACATAATTATTATACTCTGCATCTCTAGTCTATTGCCAACTGAGCTTTAGGGCTGAGCTTGTGTACTGTACTCCTAAAAAGTTCCCATAGTATTAAAAACACAAAATCCATACACATACTCTAATATTCAAATCCCATGCTCCATTGTTTGAAGAAGATGGCAAAAATTGGAAACTGTAAACACATGGAATGCACTAATGCCCAGTAGTTTTCCTGATTGTTCATTGTGTTTTGAATACTGTAGTTCATAGAAAGCCTATTAATGTTATTTTGTGGTGTTTTTGAGAGGTGATCTACAGTTGGTGTTGACTTAGTCATGGTAATAAGTAGGTGTATTACAGCAGACGTCATTTCCTAGGACAGTAGGTGTATGACTGTTTTCATTAATGATCATAGTAGATTCATTCAAATTGTTATTGTCTTTCATCCTTTTATTCGTTCATCATTTATTAATATTCTTTCTTTTATACATATCATTCATTGTTCCAGGTATACATTTTTGCATTTTTTTATATATTAAATCATTCATTCTATCAAATTCATTTATTATTCTTTCATGTATTCATTCTTAATTCCATAATTTTTTATAATATTCTTAGTTCAGCCGACTAATCTGGTGGTAGTCACTGTGTGTGCGCTGAACCGTGGAGATCTCTTGGTCCCCGGTTAGCGATTCCCATTCCTGTTCTCCTTGAATTTCAGTTAGAGAACCGAAATGCAAGTTACAATAGCGCACCGTCTTTCAGATGAGATGTTTAAGCCGTTGCTCCTGTGTGCATTATGGCCCGTATGCACGTTAAAGAATACAATGGACTCTTCGGAAAAAAGTAGGAGATTGTTTGCCCGTGTACAGCTCAATCACCATCAAATAAGTGTTCTTCAGACTTCCATGGATTATCCTTGGTGTTTACACCGAATAAATCCAATCCAATTCAATCTTTAATTCATTTATTTTTTATTTATGTATTTAATTAATTATTATAATTTATTCCTACATTTTTGTGTATTTATTTATTTATATTAATATATTAATTAAATGTGTCATATATTCATTCTTTTATCATTCAGTCATATTATCATCCACTCATTATTTATTTCATATTAATTTAATTTAATTAATTACTATAATTTATTTATTTATTAATTAAATTTTTAATATTTATTCTTTGTTCATTCATTCTTCCATGTATTCATTTAGTCATATCATCCACTCATTATTTCTTTCGTATAGGCCTACTCATTTATTTGTTATTCACACTCATTCACAAATCCTTATAAAATTTATTACCAGTGGATTATTTATTTTAGTCTATACAAAGAATATAAGAATACTGTAAATGATGGGGAATTTTGTATGAACTTTATATTTTTATAGATGACTTAAGAACAATGTGGTATGAATAAATAAATGTGTTATATAAATTTACCAGTATTTACTTATATATTTCTTTATTTTAAGTTAGCTTTCGGATATTGGATATATTTTTATGTGTAATAGCTAAACACAGAGTACATATTATTGTCTGTGACTCATTTTGACAGCATTATTGGGTTGCCTGATGTGGTCACATGACACACCTTTACCTATGTTACATATTATGCAAATTAGTTTCTTCTTCCCTGGAGGAATTGAATTGTCAGGAGTGTAGAGTGAATATAGGTCTCATCTGTTGCAAAAACGTAATGCTGTCAATTGAATGCAATAATACAAAGCAACATTTGTGTCTCGAAGTTTGACAACAAAAGAGGAAAAGAAATTTGGATGAGCTTTGTTATCAAGCCATTTTTTTCAAACTTTGTAATTCCTGCAAATTCTTGAATTAAAACTCAAAAGCTTCTGAATAATGGCATAATTAATATTTCCATGCTGTAATTTTGAGTTACTCCTTATTGAGGAAAAACCATCCAAAATAATGATTAATCTGAATATTATGCTTTTATAGATGATATCAGTACAACATTCCTAAGCTGTAAATGCCAATAGCATCGTCAGCGTTGGGGAGTGGAGGGAGGACATACAGGGGTGGCATAGTTTGTGTTAAAATTTCACTTTAGCATGTGCTCTGTATGGGGCTCTGCATGTTACTTCATGGTAATGAAAAAGTGTGGACAACCTGGAGGTGTAAAGTGAAAAGAGGTGGTTTTTAGCTGTAGTGGCTTAGTGCAATTTTTTTGGTTCTGCAGGTTTTCTGTGGATGTTAAAACTCTTTCTGGGGGGTGGGGGATTTGGTTCTTGCACACTGCTGACTGAATGAATACTCACATACAGTACATGACTAATGATTGTCTGATCACATTATACTACTTGTATCAGTTGGTGTTGGCCCCCTACTTCACAAGGTAAAAAATGATATATAATAATATTTATTTTCCATTTCAGAAGAGGAGGAGACATATTGACAGAAGTACAATAGGACTGCCAACAGATTTTAGGCACACAGGTCATATAGGCTCAGGTGAAATGTCAAGTTCAAGTAATCATGTAAGTGTTTCTATTCATTATCTGAAAGTATTTTTTTTACATTCTAATTTTGTTATTTATCCACAAGTATATAAGTGACAAGCACTAGACAAAATTGAATTCATCGTCATCATCATCATCTAGCTATTTCACTCTACTGCAGGAGGAAAGCCTCTTCATCGACTTGCCATTCTTCTCTATTCTGTGCTCCTCTCCATGTAATGCCTTTGAATTCTCGTATTTCATCCATCCACCTTCTTTTCTGTCTACCTCTTCTCCTGACTCGATTTCTTGGCACCCAGTCCATTACTTTTCTTGTCCATCTATTATCCGTCCTTCTTGCTACGCGACCTGCCCATCTCCATTTCCTCTTCTTTATTTCTTGTATTACGTCTTTCTTGTATTCACTTTTGTATTGAATTAACCAACAGTGACGAGAGGAGGATTTCCAAAATCACTGTTAAAGTGTCCTTTATAATTCATAATTTTATATTACTGTAAGTTTATGTTTATTTTAATTAATATATATATATATATATATATATATATATATATATATATATATATATA